ACAAAACAAAGCAAAATTATAGTCCACCTTAATATTAAATAGTTATAATACTTTTGTATATTTTTTATGAAGTTTATTGTTTTATTGTAGACCCATAATAGTATTTTTTCTCTTTTTTTAAAGTGAGAAATCTGCATACTTATACATCACTGGAGATATTGGATTTTCTTCTTTATTTGAGTTTTTTTTTTTCACAGACTGCAGAGTCCAGCAGCATTGCTTCTATTTACTCAGTTTTCCTCCATCAGTGAAGAGGAGCTACAGAAATATATATAAAATAAAACTCATTTAAGTCATGTTCAGATTCGTGAGCCACACAAAGGGACAGTGGGACACTGTAGGACATCAATCACCTGCTTTGTTTTATACTGTACATATATCCACACAGAGGGGAGAGAGATCAGTTTTCATAGTTGTTAGGCATTCCACTCAGTGGTGTTTATTTTTAGCTCATGGCTATGATCCCCTTTTGATGTGGACCTGTGCAATTGTGGCCGAGGGAGAGATTGTGTTCCCGTCTTACTCGAGTTCACCAAACTACACAGCACAGATAAAACGAGAAGGATCCCCTCAATGGGAAATTACAAATCAAGACCATCTCAGACATGTACAGGTAATGACTTTTTGTTTCCCACATGTATACACATGACTGATAATGAGGTTTGCATTTGAAGGAGGGACGCCCAAGAGGATAGGTTACAGTTTACAGACACTGAAGTTGCAAAAGGCTATGTGTGTACTCGGTAGATTGTTGAATATATGGCTAGATAATTAGAAATGTAAGATAAAATATTACGTTGTTATTAATGTTCCACCTTGATGATGGTGTTATAAAGATGAATGGAAGAAGAAAGTTGGCGAGTCATACTCTGTGATCATTGAGAAGTTGGACGACGACTTCCAGCTGAAAGACAGCGAGCTGGTGGATCTTAAGCTCGCTTTCAGGTGACAAACTCTTTATATTTCTGTGAGCGATCCAATCTGTATGAGTCACTATACGAACTACATTTAAGCTGACGTGCACTGTTCCTCTGTTGGAACTCCACCTAGTTTGAATAATTCTCTGTCAGTGGTTTTATATCGTTCACAAGCAGGTGATGTTGATTTTTCTGTGGCTCAGCTCCGATGAAGCTTTTCAGAAGGTGAATGTGAGCTACCGAACAGAGAAGGGGCTGTCGCTGCTGCATCTCTGCTGCGTGTGTGGAGGTATGCATGACTACTAGAGCCTATTAATAACTCCTCAACAAAATGTGACGGTGGAGGGAAGGATTACTGTAGCCTGACGGACATTATTGTTTGTGGTGTAAGCAGCACAGAACTAAACAGAATTGAAATGAACGTACTGTGAAAAAGTATTTGCCTCCTTCCTGTTTTCTTATTTTTTTGCATATTTGTCACACAAGTTTCAGATTCAATTCAGTTTTATTTAAAGAGTCGCCTCAAGTCACTTTATACTGTAAGGTAAAGACCCTGCACTAAGAGAGAGAAAATTCCAACAATCAGACGACCCACTATGAGCACGTGGCTGCAGTGAGATGGGGAATCGCCTTTTTAACATGGAGAACCCTCCAACAGAACCAGGCTCAGGGAGGGGTCGATATCTGCCGTGATTGGTTGGGAGTGATCATCAAACAAAAATAAATATTAGACACAGATTACCTGAGTTCATAAAAAGCACAATAACAATAACAAGATTCCATTTATAAAGTGGAAAAAGAAGCCACCAAAACCTGCCTGGCTCTACATGAAGAAGTAACTGCCCCTAAGTCTAGTAACTGTGTTTGTTATAACTGCCACTAAGTCTTTCACAACAGTGTGGAGGAATTTTAGCCCACTCGTCTTTCCAGGATTGATTTAATTGAGTCACACTGGAGGGTTTAAATGGTAAATGGACTGATTCTTATACAGCGCTTTTCTACTCTCCCGGAGTAAAATGGTAAATGGCCTGTATTTGTATAGCGCTTTACTAGTCCCTAAGGACCCCAAAGCACTTTACATATCCAGTCATCCACACACTGGTGATGGCAGCTACATTGTAGCCACAGCCACCCCGGGGCGCACTGACAGAGGCGAACGCTGGGGCCACCAGACCATCACCAGTAGGCAACGGGTGAAGTGTCTTGCCCAAGGACACAACGACCGAGACTGTCCAAGCCGGGGCTCGAACCGGCAACCTTCCGATTACAAGGCGACCTCCCAACTCTTGAGCCACGATCGCCCCAGTGTCTTGAGAGTACTCAAAGCACTCTATACAACATGCCTCATTCACCCATTCGCACCCACTCATACAAGCACTTCTAAACACAAGTGCAAACTAAACTACATTCACACTTTGATGAACGCATCGGAGAGCAACTTGGGGTTAGTATCTTGCCCAAGACTGGGGAAGCCAAGAATCGAACCACCAACCTTCCGATCAGTAGCTGATCTGCTCGACCACCTGAGCCACAGCCACCCCAAGCATGAAGTTTAAGCATGAACAGCCTGTTTGAGGTTATGCCAAAGCATCTCAGTCTGTCCAGCCTTTGACTAGACTAAACCTTGCAGAGGTGGGTTTGCTGGCGTGTTTCAGATTATTAATCTACGGCATACCCCAGGTGCAATTGAGCTTCCGGGCTCTCCTTTGGGATTTTATGGTAGAGCATTCATGGTTCCATTAATTACATCAAGTCGTCCAGGTCCTGAAGCAGGAAAGCAACGCCAGACTATAACACTACCACCACCATGCTTGACTGTTGGTATGGTGTGTTAGTTTTACAGCACACGTAAGGAGACTCAAACCTTCCAAAAAGTCTTGCTTTTGTCTGGTCAGTCCACAAAATTTTGGGATATGAGACGAGCTTCTTGTTCATTTGGTCAGCAGTGGTTTTCTCCTGGGAACTTTCCCATCGATGGCATTTTTGCCCAGTCTCCTATTGTTGAATATTCTTCATTTGTGGATAATGGCTCTCGCTGTGGTTTGCTGCAATCCCAAAGCCTTAGAAATGACTTTGTAGCCCTTTCTTTAGATCATAGCTGTGCTGGGGTCACTGTGCTGCTTTTTCAGAGGTTTTTCAAACTATTTAAGTGATTTCCTGATTCAGTGGCTCTGGCAGTAATCCAGTCTGGGTGTGGCAAGTGAAATTGTATTTGAATTTGTATTCACTTGAGTTAACTGTGTCTAATATTAAATTTAAGTTTAATGATCTGAAATATATATGCAGAGAACTAAGAAATGAAGATGGGGGCAAATACTTTATCACATCACTGCACATAAGGGTTAAATATAAATGATAATAATGCAACTAAAGGCTAGAACTGTGGTTTCTCTAGTTTTTCATTCCAGTCCATCCTGTTATTTCATTTGCAGTAAGAGATATTTCACTGGTGCATAATGTGACATGTTTGTGTCCAGGGAACAAGGCCCATATGCGCACCCTGATACTCAAAGGCCTGCGTCCTTCAAGACTGACCAGGAATGGATTCACTGCTCTCCACCTGGCTGCTTACAAGGTGCAGAGAAGTAAAGGGCAGTAACGTAAACTTCAAGGTGGAACCGTGTCCATGTCTTGCTTTTGTTATGCTATATGTTATCTGGTTGATAGCTTTCTAAATTTTTACCACATGGTGGAGTGCAAGTACACACAAAGGTACTATGGACATAGCTTCATGTTTTTATTTATTAATTGTGATAATACTGCAGATTAAAAATTACATATGCTTATATTTAACCCTGCAGCATCTGTGGAAATGCAGTATTACTGTTTTATTTGCATGCTGCAGGATAATGCTGAGCTGGTGACTGCGCTTCTCCATGGTGGGTCAGATGTGCAGCAGTTGGGATACGGTGCTCTCACGGCCCTTCATGTTGCCACTCTGGCCGGGCATCACGAGGTGAGAGAAAATGATCAGCCGTTATGGACCGTGTTGATTTCGTACTTTGACCTGTGGCTATTTCCACCTCCAGGCTGCAGACATACTCCTACAGCACGGAGCCTATGTTAACGTTCAGGATGCTGTCTTTTTCACCCCACTGCACATTGCTTCCTACAATGACCACGAGCAGGTAAACTCCTCATGTTCAACTTCATGTGGGGACAGCATCTTTGTAAACACCTGTATTTGTGCTCTGGGCTTCTTCTGGTCCTCTCCTGTTTTGTAGGTGACGAAGCTGCTGCTGAAGTTTGGGGCCGATGTGAATGCAAGTGGTGAGGTGGGTGATCGCCCACTGCATCTGGCTGCTGCCAAGGGCTTTCTTGGTATTGTCAAACTGCTGATGAGTGAGGGAAGCAAAACTAACGGTAGGACC